CTGCCACCGCTGAAGGTGGCACTCTGTTGCTGGAGACGCGTTACCGACGACCCGAGATTCTGCTGTTACCGACTTGGGACACGGCTGCTAGAGACATAGAACGCTGTTGGCCGAGACGACGACAGAACACAAGCTGCTGGCGGACACAGAAGACAAGCTGCTGGACACACAGGAAACAGCTGATATACTAGTAGAAGTGACAGTAATTATATATCTGTTATTCTGCCTTCTCTTCCTAACACATAACCAGTGTTGACGCAAGAACACACAAGGTTATAAAAATACATGTTTCTTAATTTGTCTTTCCCAGCTTAACATAACAATCTCATATAGTCTGACACGCAAATGTCGAATTGAATTTTACGGCAAAATTACTTTGTAGGGCTACCGAAATATCTACCCCCCCCCAACCAACTGTACTACGTAATTTGCGGTTAGCGAGTGTAAATGAATATTTTCATTTTGTTCAAAGTGATCAAAAATATTAAGTTAAAGAAACTTCCATTTGTTTCAACGTATTGAATATAATCAGATCCATCAACATAAACCCCAGTTGCTCAGGTAACTGATGCCTATTGAGGAAAATTCAACCTTATATTGATGGAATTTAACGGAAAGTGGGAAAATCGGTTACTGAACATCTTAGAGTAGGTTAGTAGGTTATAAGTCAAAGACAAAGGACCTTTTAAGACAGTCCTGCCAAATTTATTATTTATTCATCCCGTGACCTACCTTGCTCTCTGTGTGTGAGTAGACTCACGAATAAATAGTTTGGCAGCTAGGCTTCAGCTTGCTACTTATCAGCAAGGGCAATCTCACATATTGTTCCTTATAGTGACCTTTAATGGGTTTCCCAGCATGACTTTTTCACCATGATCCTAGTCTATTCAATGTTTGAGGCGGGTATTATACTATTTAAAGGGGGTTATTTTAAAAAACTCACCAGAACCACAGGAAATACTGACGGAACAGTTACAATCATCCGTTTACCGCAAAGAAACCTATACGGAAGTTATTCTAAACTATGAGAGTAACAACCCCATCTCTAATAAACGGAGTGCCGTCTATAGTTTGCTAAATCGAGCAAAGACACACTGCTCTGAGGAACAAATCTACCAAATGGAGCTCAATTACTTGTTTGATTTGTTTTCCCGAAATGGTTACCCGAAAAACTGTATACGCCGATGCATGAACCAGCAAGAACGCAACAAAGAGGAACCAGATAGTTCCACTCAAGCGCCCAACACAAATACATGGCGAGTCCTCCCTTATATAAGGGATGTGTCTGAACTTGTTTAAAGACACTTGCGGGTACACCAAATAAAATTGGCGCACAAACCAATGGCTACTTTACGCATCCAGCTTGTACACCCTAAGGATAGGGTCAGCTACCTCAATAAGAAAGAAGCC